TGTCTGTGAAGGTAAACTGCTGGGAAATAAATCGCATGTTTATTTTAGATCTGTTTGGCAGCAGCAATATACAGTAAATAAATCAATAAATGCACTGCTCTGTTGTCTCCTCTGAGGCTGGGACTCTAAACAGTGTTCTGTGCTCGTCTGTGCAGACAAAGACAGAACAGTTAGTGTGTTTTGCTCAAACTTTCGCCATGGCATTAGAGCTGGTTCACCGTTGTCACTTGCGAAAACACAATAACAGCCGCCGTGGGTGTAAACTTACAGATTAAGGGCGGTAATATTATAATGAGATCCCTTTGCCACGTCACCAAGGGAGCGAAATCAGACGCGCTCGTTGGTTAATCTTTTTCACGTTTCCTTGGTTGGTAGATGCACCGGGGACCTGATTATAGCACTTAAAACCTGGAAAAGTCAGATTTTCATGATATGTCACCTTTAAATTTCTGAGTTGCAATTGCGAATCCAATTCTGTGGAAGCTCACAATTCTCACAATTTCTTACAGTTGCAAGTTTATCATGCAATTCAGAATTGTGAGATAGAAAGTCGCAATTACCTTTTTATTATGTATTCAGTGTGGCAGAAACAAGCTTCTATAGTTTATTGTTCTTGTTGTCATTGAAAGATTCTATCATCTATGATTTAAAAATGAAGTTCACAGATTTTCGAGTGTGAGTCTTGCTGTCATATTGCAGGGCATTTCCCAGCGTTCAGCCGGCAGGGTGATGTTTTACTCGACAGAGGAACTGAATGTGACAGCGGCCTCCTGCCTTGAGTCTCATCTGAGTCTCAGACTCCAGTTCTTCTGAAAACTCGACTGTTTGCAGAGAAATATAGAGCTCACGAGATCTATACTCTCCCACATCACTGAGCCCAGACAGAAATAACAACAAACACTGACCCCTGTAACCCTGAGAACACACACTTCAATAACTTATCAAACAAATCAACTTAACCTGACCCTACAAAGCAGCGGAATGTGTCAGAAAACTGTAAAACTGCGAATCAAACAGTCTTTTTGTTCTGCCAAACGCACTTTTAATCCTTCAAAACAGTGATAATTGTTTGACAAGAAAGACAGAATAGACACAGGTCTGGATAAGCAGGAGGACTCTGACAATCTGCCATCGGCTTTGAGGGATATTGAGCTTGTATCCGCATCAGCCCTTCGCTTTCACGCTCTGTTTGGAATCTGTGTTTCAAAGAGATAAGTTTGCTGTTTGTCTCGAGGCGCTGTATTCAAAGATGCGCAAACGCGCGTCTGATTCATTAACACGAGCCGCGTCAGGGCGCTTCTCACAAAGCAGCGCTGTTTAACTTCCAACACCCACATCGCGAAAGTTCATCTCGTCAGAACTGGCAGCGTTTCCGCGATTGTCGACGCGTTCTGCGCTTTGATCCGCACGGAAAGGCTCTTTTTGGGAAAGTTGGTGATCAGACGCGCCTGACGGACGCAAACGGGACACAGTTACACTGTACGTCCTCCTGAATTAAGCAGAAAATCAACACCAACATCTAACCTGATCTCTCTCCCCTCTGTGACAACGCAACGCGAGCCATCGGGGAGGAACTTTACGCTCCTGCTTTGAGTTTGATGGCGCTGAGATCCCCGCAGCCATGCGCAATTCACGACCCTCACCCGGCGCGTCAATACGATAAAGCCCTGGCGCAGAACGCTTCAAATTCTTCGCTCGATACAGACGCGGCGCATCCTCCCTCTTGACACGCGAGATCCTCGTAATCCCCGCGCAGCTTTAATTCCTGAGAGCCGTTCCCATCCCATCCGCCCCTGCGGCGAGCTCGTGAGGATGAGGATGATGCCTGTGCATTGTACTGGCATTGATACGCTACATCACACGTGCATTATGCAGAACGCGCAAACACGCACGCGTGTTGTTTTTACAGGACAAGCGCATCATAAAAGCCTCATTCTGTTTATTTTACCTCATGCTCCATTTACAGCAGATGGATGTCATTTCAAAACTTTTGGGGGAAAAAATAGGCTACACTGCATTTCTGGGATCTTTATGTTGATCTAAATGAAAAAGTGAATTTGTGAGTCTCATTATGGTTTTATGGTGTTGCCTATTTATTTTTTCTTACAGCGTCCGTATACAGTATATGGGTCAGTCTCAGAATTTATCTTTGTTCCTCCCCTTTGTATTCAACCTTTCTGTGACAGACATTAACCTTTACAAATAATGGTTTGATCTTTTTGACATCATGTTATTGTTTTTTTTTGTTTTGTTTTATCAGTGTTTCATTGTGAATGCACTTATATAATTCCAATAGTTAAACACTTTTATAATGAAAAAAAAAAGAGTAATGATATGAGAGTTTGAAAGAAAAATAAATATATATTTTTTTATTTCAGTTGTGTTTCTCTGGAAATTTGAGTGTGAAAATTCAGAAGAAACCCTTTCAGATAAAAAAAAAAAAAAAAGATCCATAATGGTCATTATACTCATGGTTAAATCTTCAAAGAGTTTAACGTGTTGTATCACAAGATAACATTTGATATAACAGATGAAATAGGGCGCTGATCATATTTTAGTGTTACATGCAGAGCTTTCAAGTAAAGACCATACTTAAAGGGTTAGTTCACCCAAAAATGAAAATTAGCCCATAAATTACTCACCCTCAAGTCATCCTAGGTGTATATGACTTTCTTCTTTCAGACGAATCCAGTCGGAGTTATATTAAAAATTGTCTTCGATCTTTCAAGCTGTTTCATGGCACTCAGCGGGTGTTGCATGCTTCAGTCCAAAACAAGTTAAATAAAAAACGCCCATCCATAAAAAAAAAGTGTCTCACATGGCTCCGGGTGGTGAACAGAAGCCTTCTGTAGCGAATCGATGCGTTTTTGTAAGAAAAATAATCCATATTCAAAACTTAATAATCATTTTAATGTAGCTTGTACTCACTGTTGTAAAAGGAAACAGCTCCGGGCGGATGACGTATGAGGTCGGCGTTGCACATGCGCCCGCCCGGAGCTGCTTCCCTTTACAACAGCCATGTGAGACACTTTTTTTTTTATGGATGGGCGCTTTTTATTTAACTTGTTTTGGACTGACGCATGCAACACCCGCTGAGTGCCATGAAACAGCTTGAAAGATCGAAGACAATTTTTAATATAACTCCGACTGGATTCGTCTGAAAGAAGAAAGTCATATACACCTAGGATGACTTGAGGGTGAGTAATTTATGGGCTAATTTTCATTTTTGGGTGAACTAACCCTTTAAATGTATATACAAGAATTTTTAAAGCCACCTTTTTTCTAATTTATTAAATGTACTAATTTAATTTTTTTGTATATTTAATGTTGTGCAAGTGTTTTCTTCTGTGAATTGCGCTGGTGTTTTGAAGCTCAGTCCAGCGGTCTGATTCACTCAAAGGTTCTTGCTCTGAATCAATTTCAGAACAAGGTCCCGCTCGTGGCGAGTGAAAAATGGACTACAGAGAGACTCTAAATGGTGGCCATCAATAAACGTGCGGCGCTTTGCTTTGCATTCATCTTCCCCCCTTAATTTGTTTTCCAGACATCAGTCCCTCGGCTGCTGACCTTTGAGAGAGACGCTCCTGAAGCAGCAGATAGAGTGAGACGCTTCCCGCCGAGAGCGCGTGTGTTTATGAAGTGCTGGCGGGAAACAATAGACTGAAGCAGCGCATTTAACCACCGGAGCCCTGCATCTCACACAGACACGCTGCTGGAGTCATGTTCCTACAGTAAAACAGCAGCTGCTAAGAACCTGAGGGTCATTCTCAGGAAAACCCCCGCCATTTGGTCCTTGAAAATGTCAGGTTTTTGTCATTTTATCATTTCATTTGAAAAGGTTATTCAGATTAGTGGTCAGCATATTTAGCTATAAGTGTTTACAATGGCTAAATGTGTGAGTACAGCATAGAGCACAATATGCATGAACAAATTGACAGGGGGGGGGGGAAGCATTTAAAACAAAACTACACATTGAAAGCATAGGCAAAAATATAGGCAAGTTGATTTTTAATATTAGGCTATATAGCCAAGTTCCATGACAATGAACTGGACATGCAAATTGGATGATATCTCATTGAAAACGTTAAATTTAGAGGTTAAATTTATTCATTAGGTTCATTATTCTGTTGCAGATAACACACAAATTGTGCTGTTTCTTGAGAATGAGTGTTTTACATTTTTCTGCAGGTTTTTAAACATGATCTTCAGCTGCATCTCAAAGTCTGGCACATTGTGATTTCTTTCAGTCGACATCAGCTTAAAATATATTGGTCACATTTGCAACCTCTGAGGGGAAAAAAATCATGCATATCAGCACAAAATCAACCAGTTTCATACATGCCATTGCTCTTTTCTTTTCATTTTTACTGTTTGTTACAGAACATGATCGGTCAGTGACTAGATCAGTATTAGAAGTTATTATTGGATTTCATATAGTATTTCCAATTCAAACAATAGAAGAGTTCAAAATGACCCAGTTATATATTAATGATATTTCACATTTTTCAATTTTCAGTGTTATTTCAGTTAACTAAAAGCAAAACTAAAACAATTCTACACTTGAAATAACATTTCTGCAATCTTTCCAGCTGTTGCCAAGGCCACTGTTTCTCATTTAGTTAAACTTGATATACTAAAATAACTAAAACTGAAATAAAAGTTACTAAAAAGTATATATATACAGCTATGGAAAAAAAATCAAGATACCACTTGATAATTCTCAGTTTCTCTGGATTTACTAGGAATGGGTTCTAGTAAAATGATAATATTTGTTTTATTCCATAAACATCGCATTTCCATCTTTTTCAAAAATTACAAAATCATCCCCTAAATTAATATGAAAACTGAAAATATAACACAAATTAATTCAAAATAATCTCATTCACACAAAAATAACACACTAACTGAATATGAATGCGCGAATGAAACCAGACACCAGAGAGAAACATATTGCAACAAAAGAAACGATTTATTTGGAATATGCATTACCAGTACAAATTAAGAGACCAAAAAACCTACACCTTGTTAGTTTTTCTTCACAAAAACGAGTTGGAATCAAAAAGACAATAGTTTGCTGTTCCATTGTATTCCTTTTATACATATGCAGAGATCTTAAAAGTTAAAACTTGACAAGAGGACGTCTCTGCGCTTGATATAAAAAAGAAGAAACATTCAAAAACACTGCAGGAGTTTAAAGAACAAAAGACATGCAACAAAGTAAACATTTTGATGTCTTACAAACCGCTGTATATGCAAAAACTAAAAGCATCATTACATGAGGCTTTTGTGAATACGGTGCTGCTGAGGTGCGATCTGCTCCGGCGATGAGACGGCAAACCAAAGAAAGACAATGACCCACACTAGCTAGAGCTCCAAAACCTCTCTACATGTCTCATTCTCAATCAACTGAGCAACTGTCAGGAGCAGAAAGCCTGCGCTCATCACAGCGCTTCTGTAAAGACCTAATCATTTTAGCCGTTGTTATGAAAAGAGCAAAAGAAGAGTAAAGGTGCACATCTACATATAGAAGCTAGCGCGCATTCACATTATGCTTGCGAGAAATCAAATATATGGCCGTTCGTATATGAAATCAGAAATGAGAATCGGCTATTCACAACAGGAGGGCATCAAAAATATATCCAAACCGATTTCTGCATTTGTGTGCCATCGTGAGCTTTTCCTTTCTTCTCAAGAAACACCAGTGGATTTTTGGTTTCAGGTATAACGCGCCGGGACGCTCGTGAGAAACGCATCCCAGATTTGACACAATTTACAGCATGAAGGATGTGATGTGAACGGAAGAGCGGACACGCCTGTGGTTTTTGGTATCAAGGTCGCCCAGAGAGAAGGCTGAGGTGGAACGAAACCGGAAAACAAAGCGATTTCACATTTGGGATTGGTTCACTTCTGATTGCCTTTTATTGCATTCTGATGATGATGATGATATATATAAAGGGATTTGTGTGTCTGTACATAAACATCAGACAAAAATTCATCAAGATTACATGAATAAACTGAAGCGTGACGCATGTGAATCTTATTTAAAATGCAAAATAATGATACCGTTGTGCTAATAACCTTCAGAAATGAATATTTCGATATCTATGTCTAAACCGCATTGCCTTTATTTCTCACTAAAGCAGGGAAATTATGATCTTCCCTTATGTACACAAACCAAATATTCCGCGATTCAAAGCAAAGGTTATTAGACGAACAGAAATCTAGTTCAGCTCAGACGCAGTGCAACCTGCTTTTTCAAGCACAATTCTATTATAATGTAAAACGAGCTCCTAAAGTGATGTTTAAAAGTACTTTGGCACTATGGTAAAATTGCAAAAATGTTTCAAACATAACGTGATGTTTGTTATGACGATGAAGGCAGGGTCGACATACAGTATTAGATGCATGTGTCTAGTCTAAAGGTCCTGTTGTCTCGGTCTGGATGTTTGAGAGGTAGCATGAAGAAGTTTGATGATGCTCTCTGTGTGGTGCGGGGATGGAGACAGTCCGTGTGTGTGAGGATCAGTTAGAGGTGTCGGAGTGAACGCTTCCGGGTCCTTCTGTGGGGGAGGTGACGGAGGACGGGGTGGTGGGGTCCTGCCAGCCACCGTTCGCCTGACGGAGAGACAACACACATACACACACACACACACACACACACACATGCCATGAGTGAACAATCAGGCACATTTTGTGTCATATAAAAAATTGCAAAAATGATCTCAGTGTGTAGAATGTGTCATTTTTATCAAATGACTAAAAATGAAATCATTCATTTTTTTTTACTGGAAACGTTGAATAGATTATTTTTATTACCAAAAATAAAAGAGTGATGTGCGCTACATAAACTCTCATAGGTCAAAATGACCCAGCGATCGGATATATTTATGACATTTTGCATTTTTAAATAAAGCAGGATGTTTTACCAGGGTTATTAAAGTGGACTAAAACTAAAACCGTAAAAAAAGTTTAAATTTTTTTAATTAATTTTTTTATTAAAAATTAAAAAAAAAAAAAATATATATATATATAAAAGTGTTATGTTTATTCCTTGTTGAATAAATGTAACAATTATTTATTTATTTAAATACAATTTATTTAAATTTTATTTAAAAAAAATCTACATTATTCAGAAAGGACACATTTAGGTTTCTTGAGCAGCAAATCAGCATATTAGAATAATTTCTGAAGGATCATGTGACACTGAAGACTGGAGCAATGATTTAGTTGGCAGTGCTGGTTTCTGTCAGTCTGAAATGATTACGTCCTCAGAAAACAGGAATCAGCGTGTAAGAGCTCTGTGTGTGATGCCTGTCATTTATACTGACACACACACACACACACACACACACACAAATACTGAGAGGCAACAAGAGAAAAGAATCAAGACTCCCAGAATAAAACAGGAATCAGTGAAGGACACTGAGAGAATGAAACAGAATAAAAACACCGAGACGCAGCAGAATCCATCACTAATCTCACAGACAGCAGTGAAAGCAGCGCTTCAGACATTAACTCTATACATAAACCCAATATAAGAACAGAAGAAATGTGTTAAATGCTGCTGGTGAATGCATGCTTTAAACCAACATCAACGTCATCTCTGTCATTTGTGTGCCACTAATGCTTTCTGTTTCTCAATTTCACATACACCGGCCCCCAAACTATCTGAACACTTCAGTCACAATTAAAAATGCATGAATGTCATTGCATTAGATAATAAAATATCAAAGCAAGTGTCATTCATTTTAAGGAAAGACACAGTACAAGCAAAATGAACTGCGCCACTTTGGCTGTGTAACGCATTTGTGAGGTGAACTTATCTAATGCAGTGACATTCAGACATTAATAACTGTCACTTAAGTGTCCAAATAATTTGAGCAAATGTGCATGCGTGATATTTCAGCTCTGAATGGATGAGCCTCATTTAAATCTCAAATTAGCTGATATATGTGCTCCTGTGAACAGTCATTTTATACTGATGCAATAATTTGCAACAAAACTATAAATAACACTCAGGATCACACATCATCTGACTAATTAATATCAAAGGATAAGGATGCATGTAGATCAAATGCTATTAAATAATTTAATAGAGACAGCATTCACGCTTTCAATATATAATAGTTAAAACAGTTTAGATTTTGAATTTGCATTCATTATGTAAATCATTTTAAGATTTAATTAATTTCAAGTACACTTTTTGTAACAATATTATGGACAATATTATACACTACCATTCAAAATTTGGGGTCAGTAAGATTTTTAAAAATGTTTTTGAAAGTCACGAAGGTTGCATTAATTTGATCAAAATAAATAAATAAATATACAGTAAAAACTGTAAAATTGCAAAATATTATTACAATTTAAAATAACTATTTTCTATGTGAATATATTTAAAAATGTAATTTATTCCTGTGATCAAAGCTGAATTTTCAGCATCATTACTTTAGTCTTCAGTGTCACATGATCCTTCAGAAATCATATGCTGATTTGCAGCTCAAGAAACATTTCTGACTATTATCAGTGATAAGAGGTTGCAGATTAATATTTTTGTGGAAACTGTAAAACATTTAGTTTTTCCGAATCCATTAATGAATAGAAAGTTAAGAAAACAGACAGCAGTTATTGGAAATAGAAAAAAAAAACTTTGCAACATTAAAAAATGTCTTTACAGTCACTTTTGATCAATTTAATGCATCCTCATTGAATAAAAACATTAATTAAAAAAAATCGCTGCCCCTTATATTTTTAAACATAAATATAATATATTATATTTTATTATATATTTCTAAACTTGACCATGGGAACTGTGTATATTATGCAATTCATTGCGATTCAAAACAAATGTAATGATTTATTCAGTGTGAATGCTTTGTACGGTATTAAATGCGTTTTGAAAGCACTTGATGTGAACCGAGCGCTGTTCTGTGTGTTTGTGCATCACAGACAAGCCCACAATTCTCCACAAAAAAAAGCAGGATGGGATTTGCATTCGTGCTTTTCCCGCGAATATGCTTGATCTCATTAACATATGGCCGGCGGAGCGCCGCAGAACGGGAGCGGGACAGAGACGCTGACCGGCCTCCCCCTCTCCTCCTCCTCCTCCTCTCTCGTTCTCGGCTCGGCTCGCTGTCAAGGCCATTAGCTCGGCAGGAACCTGATCTGAGCAATGTGCTTGGATTGCTGTCCCAAGTCCACACTCCGCTCCCCGTGTGTCTGTCGTATTGATTTTCCCCTTTACCACAGGGCTTGTCGCTGTGAATGTTCTCGGCGCGCCAAGTTGCCAGCAGCGCCCCTCCCTTCCCGAACACACAGGATGTCCTCCTACGAGTGTTTTACCATAGGCGCGCGGCTGTATTTTTAGCGCCGAGTGTTTTTGTGCACCGCCCTTGGGGGGATAATCAGGGTCGGGTGACTTTGGGGCACGGCGAGGGGCCATACATTTGCAGCCGGTGTCACCTGTTCCCGTCAGCGGGGCGCGTGGCTGCAGGTGCCGGGCCGATCTGATTGGATGTGATGGGCTCAGACAGACGCGGGGCCACTCTCGTGTCCACGTCTCGCTGGGCAGCACGCCGCCCGTGGCGCTCGCGACACACAGGCAATCAACTAAGTGACCACGATTCCCAGACAAGTCACACTAAGTGGCATTCTGAGCCCTATGGCTTTGAAATAATTGGTAGAGGGCAAAACAAGAGGAAGGGGGAAAAAAATAAGTGTTTTTTCTCGCCTTACATTGATGCCCTGCGGACTGTACATCTGGTTTGCTGCGAGGCCGTCACTGTATCCTCCTGTCTGGCTGATAACATGGCGAAGGGTATCCACCTGAAACACCGCAAAAACAACACGGCAAGGTCAGAGCGCACGAGACGCGAACGCAAGGTCGCAAACAAAGCAAAGTCAGACGACACGACAAAGATGAAAGCAAGGTCAAAGAAAGCAAACAACAATAAAAGACGACACAACGACAGACGTACAAACACATGATGACACGCGAACAATAAAACACATTACAAAGCCTGTCTCATCATGGCTCTGTTCTAAAGCCTAGTGAGCTGCCTACCTAGACAGCATTCTCCATATGCTGCCTTATAAGATTCCTTATTTGGGGTAGTAGCATTGTGGACATTAGAATGCATTAGAACAAAAATTATCCAAAACTTCACTCTAAAAAATGCTGGGTTAAATATAACCCAGCACTGGGTTAAAAAGGGACAAACCCAGCTATTGGGTTGTTTTGACCCAGCGGTTGGGAACCCAACCGCTGGGTCAAAACAACCCAATAGCTGGGT